ACACACACACACACTCTCTCTCTCACACACACACACACACACACACACACACACACACACACTGCTGTGCCTCACACTGACCGCTGGAGGGTTCGGTCTGTCAGAGACGGGTGTGTGTTTGCGCCGGACCGCCGGCTTCTCTGGGACACCGGACGAGCCTTTCTTAGTCTTTCGTGGACTCATTTCACTAGGACAAATTCATCAGGAATAAACATCATATTACAAGCGGCTCAATGAAATCAGTCCATTGTTTTCTAAAAGCAGGAGCGGATTCACTCAAGGGTGCATTCCACAGGAACAGATACGAGCGCACAGAAGGAGCTGACAAACCCCACAGAAAACCTGCAAACCTACATCCACATTACGATCACTCAAATACTATTAGACCGTGTTAATATTTTGATTTAGATTTGAGTTTAATACTTTGTTCTCTTCTTCATCGTAGTTAAACTCTTATTAATTTTGTTGTGTTTTTGTCAATGTCTACATAGCTTACGTTGTAGTTTAACACTTCAATACTTCAACAAAACCAAAATAAAAATGTTTATTGCATGCTAGCTGAAATTTAATGCAGTTAATGCTTATTTAATTGGTAAGACTCTACAATAAGCTCTGATTAGCAAAGCATTAACTAACATTAACAATGAGCAACGTTAATAACGCTGGTTGAGTTGTTCAGCATCACACACACGTGGTGAGGAAACAGCAGAAATAAAGTCAACATTCTGTTACTGTCTGAATCATCTGAAAGCTTCAATACGACGTGAAATGAAATGAAAGTGAATCTAGCCAGACTCACGGTACCTTATTTTACTGTCATTGAAAATTCACGTTTCATCTTAAAGTTGTGTGGAACAAAACACTCTTCATAAGTCATATCAGTTTGATATTTAACATTAAATAATATCATTTTTTTTTTAAAAGATATTAAAAATTAGCCTTTTCCCTGTCATTTTCATAACGATAACCTGGTTAATTACCTCTTCGTGTCTTTGAGTCTGTCAGTTCTTCCGTCAGCGTTCACTCGAGCTCCTGAATTCCCTGAAAACAAGAGAATTATGGGATTAATGCGTCGCATGACAAAGTGAATCAAGCTCTCCTGCGTTCAAGAAGATCAAGAACCCACAGGACCAGACCAACCACTCACTCCAAACACCCGTCGCTTCTAGAACGAGCGCGGCGGCAGGAGTGAACACACACACACACACACACTAACACACACTCTCTCACACACACACACACACACACACACACACACAC